TCTGTCTCTCAAAAATAAATAAACATTAAAAAAAAATTTTAAGGAGTTTTTTTTTTCTTAACTTCCAGGAGAATGTAAGTCATAAGAAAATAGTCTTTTCAAATGTATTTCGTTTCTGTCTGCCATATCACTTTGCAATTCCTGTGTAGGCTCTATCAAGCCTCACTCAGATACAAAGAGCAACTCCACAATTATGGAAACTTGAATTTTAAAAACCTCTATATATCTCTCAGTTGCCAGCATTTCTGTGACCAGGAATACCTGAATACAAGTACGTTAAAACAAACACTTGAACAGCCAGGTATTTTCATGTTACCGCCTTTTAATGAAAAAAAGTCTGGACTCTTTTTGCATTGATATTAAATGCCTACTACTATGTGTAATGAAGTCATTAAATCCTTTGAACTCAATAGAGTTATCCTTTGCCTTTTCAAAGACTGAATTTCCCCTGTTTATATCCTGAAGGTGTAGCTCTGAATTCCTCTCTATTGACTAAAAGATCAGTCTACAGTGCAGTGTTCACTTTAAATCTAGTTGTTGCAACGTTGCAAACTAACATGTATATTTGGCTGTGGTTAGTGATTTTCCTACCATAAAATAGAAAATTGGCTGAATATTATAACAAGTCACCTGTTTGTGAGAACTGTGAAATAGGTCAGTATTTAAAACCAAGTGATTCTCCAAAAGTAATTCCCTCAAAGAGCAGGAAGGCTGTGAGTGGCAAAGGCATATTAAAGAGAAATGTGTACAGAAAATATGCCACTGTTCCACTAGTAATTCTAGCTAACCAGTGCTTCAATCATGCAATATTACTTACCTGTAACTTTTAAATGTCATCTGGAAAAAAAGTCAAGATGGTAAACAAGTTATAAACATGAAAGTAAGCACGCGTGCTCAAGAGCAGGGCGGGGACAGAGAGGGAGAGAGAGAAAGAGAATCCCAAGCAGGCTCTACATTCAGCAGGAAGCCTGATGCAGGGGTCGAACCCACCAACCGTGAGATCCTGACCTGAGCAGAAATCAAGAGTCAGACACTTCACCAACTGAACCACCCAGGCGCCCCTCTCTGGAAGATTTTTCAGATGAGACCAGAAGTAGTATATGCTATTTAACTTTTGTAAATAGCACAAAATGCTTATTTTGAAATTTCTTACTCAAATTTCAGTGAGTACAGTTTAGCTTATAATTGATTAGTTTTTGCAGCATTTGTTAAATTTTCAATGTTTCTGGTTGGGGCGCCTCGGTGGCTCACTTGGTTAAGCATCCGTGTCCTGATTTCAGCTCAGGTCACGATCTCACAGTTGGTGAAATTGAACCCTGAGTCTGGCTCAGCGCTGACAGCGAGGAGCCTGCTTGGAATTTTCTCCCTCTTTCTCTGCCCCTCCCCTGCTCACGTGTTCTCTCTCTCTCTCTCTAAATAAATGAATAAACATTAAAAAAAAAAAAAAACGTATGTTTCTAGTCAGTGAAACAATTTTATATCCTCAAAGGAGATA